TATGTGCGTGGCCAACATAATATGGTGTCGGATTCGCGAAATTCACTTTCTAAGCCTCGAAAATCGACTGCAAAGTTTCGAGAATAAAATAATATTATTTTTCCAATTTTTGTCAAAATTCCAATTTTTGGCCAAAACCACTCTAAATGTGCGTGGCCACCCCAAAATGATCTTGGCCGCGAAAAATAACCTCAAACGGCCTCAGATCCGGCCTCGGTGCCAGCGGGCAAAACCGTAATTTTTCACCCCAGGACCGAAATTCCACTTTTTACTCGTACTAACTCCAAACGTGTGTGGCCAGCGTAATATGACGTCAAATTCCCAAAAATAGTCTCTTAAGCCTTCGAAAATCGACATGAAACTCCGGGCCCAATTTCGTGATCAAAACTCGCTCGAGTTTCAATTTCGTCTCTGCGGCTAACGGCGATTGTTTAGGACATACGCGTATCGACCTAGGGTTATTCGAATTACGACGGTCCCGATCATTGAGAGAATGAGAAATTATCATTAGTTCCAAAGATCACGATCGTTAGGTTCAAGTTCAGGACTGATTGGCCACGTGCACTTTCGGTCTTGCAGAATCACCTACGATCCGATTGTACATCGTTGGCCTTGGCCAAACCAAATCCATCACCTTTCCTAAGATCGGCCCACGTTGGCCCAAAATATTCACTCATCGTATCTCGAGATCGGTGTCCCGTTCACTATCGAGTCCCTAGTCCACGTACCGTTTCCTAGTTAGCCACACCCCATTGGTTAGTATCCCGAGAGTGATCAGCTCTGGGCGAGACTTACTAAAATGAAATGCGAAATATTGTCAATTTTATTGATCCCGGAATTACGTCGAAATTCGGGCTGTTACAGGCAATGTACTAATCTATCGTCTCGTTATTATATTGCTTGAAAGTGGCCAAATTCGATAGCGTCACCTCGGGAACTGGGCGATAGAATTGTGTGTGGAACTTACTCTCCATGTCCTCCCACGTCTGCACCGAGTTAGCAAGCAATCCAGTATACCAAGTAAAAGCAATTTTTGATAACGACAAGGGAAAAAGCCTCAACTTCATTCTCCCATCATTATTCACGTCTCCGCATTGAGCCGTAAACTTACTTATATGCTCTACTGTGGACTGGTCATCTTGTCAAGTAAAAACAGCAAACTTTGGAATTTTGTATCCCCTTGGGTACGGGACGTTGTCTACCCAATCGGGGTATGGCTTATGGTATATAGGCCTCGGTACGCCTCCTTCCAGACCTATATATTGCATCACTAAACAAACGGCTTATTTAATCATGCGCCAGTCTCTTTGAGGGTCTTGCGCCTGGTATCCCTGATTAACTTGTGCCCTAGGGGGTGACGGTGGTCGACCCCCAGATTCCTAAATGCCGCCTGTGGCCTATAGGGTTGGTAACCTGGGATTAGCACTGAAATTGTCCCAATGTTGATGGGATTAGTCATTGGTATACCGCTACTGCTAGCTTGTTGAGCAACCTCCAGGATTGGTGGCTAGGGAACGAATCCCTATGTATCCATTCCTGTAGTTAAAGGGTCAGTGGTTACCATCACCGTGTTTGCATCGGTGACACCCTCGGGTGCGCGCCCAAGAGAACGCATGGATCCGTTCAGACTTACACGGTCCTCCATACCAGTTTGATTCTAATCACTTGCGGTATCGGTCCTTTGTAAAATTCAAACCGGTTATGTCAGACTTGAAGTACTAGCAACAGTTGGTAAAGCAGGAACCATTGTTGGGGTGATCCCTAGCACAGCTTGACTTCCTTGCACTCCGTTTGGTCCGTTCCTTGGTCCAAACTTATAGGCTAACTCCGCAACCGAATTGGTGAGTAGGGGTGAGAATTCTCGATAGATGATTGGCCATGTGATTAGTCAGTTCATTTTGTTGTTCTTCAAACATCCTTCTCATAGTGGCCACCACCGCAGAATTAGGCGCCAATTCTCTCATCTGTTCCTCAGTCAGATTCCGAGGAATATCTTCAGAACTTGCGCCCCAGCTGATATCGATGGCTGGGTTAAGATTCTGGTGCATCAAAATGAGTGGGCCTTTCCCCCACACGTTGTGGGGATGAGTTATTCTTGCCAGTGGCGGCACGACCTTCCTGATTCCTGGTCTTCGCCATTGACACTTCCTAGATGCGGAACACAATCGTCCCACTAGGCGTGCCAAAAAGATTTTTCGCCGAGAGTAACCTCGAACGAAATATCTTTCACCGAAAGGGAAGATCTCCTTTTTTTTTTGTGAGTAACCGGGTCCTTTGTCGCTTCGGAAAGGAAGTGACGAATCTACGCTAATGGCGAACAAAGGTAAAAGGACAAAAGATAAATTGTGCAATAAAAGGTAAATTAACGATAGAAATTGAATAAACGAGATTACAAAAGGTATGCATTCTGCAGTCAATTTGGCAAAAGGTCCTTTCAATCATTGCCTAGAGGCTATTTATAACTAACACGGATGAATAACCGTTACCGAACAGTTATCGTCTTGACTCTAGAATGTTCGACTTCCTTGCCAATAACCGCCCCTTTTATTTCGAGGTATCGTCGGCACCGAATGTGGTAACTGCTCTTATCCTTATCCCGTTGTCCTGAGCGGTTATTGGTGCGGAGTTTTTGGTATCCCATGTAGTGGGCTTTGTGCGACTTCCTCACCCAGGCCACTGTTTAGTGATTTGGGCCTAATGCACCCTTTCTTTTTTCTAGCCCAATCGGCCAGATTTGAGCACCAACAGTACCATAAAGGAAACAAAGGAAAAAAATTTGTTAAATTAACGCCTAATAAATCAGAAAATAGGGAATGATTCATTGACCTGGGAGATAGTGAAGGCTAAGTTGAAAACTAAAAACCCACCATCGGTTGTTTACAATTCCTAAGGAGCGACCATGCTTCGCCTGTTTCATCATCTCCAAAAATTGTCCTTGGGACGAAGCATCGGACGGGGACTAGTACTCGCTCCGTTGAGCCTCATCAAGTGACTCTCGCGGCATCGAATGGCTCCCACAAGTGCCTCCCATGGTGGATGCTGCTGCGACAAAATTAGGGACATCAATCGTGAGGAGTGTGCGATTTGTTTTGGATCTTTCAAGAAAGGAGACGAGTGTTGGGCGCCTAAGTAGCACCGACACCAACACGCAACATGACATGCCGACACGTCATTTCTTATAAAATAGAGAATTTTGACACGTTGGGATACGTTGTATATTAAATGTATATTTTCATATATACATAATAAATTATCATTTTTATGATTATTTAATCAAATTAATTTGATTCAAATCCACAAATAAATAAATAATAAAAAAATAGTGTCGGTGTCCGACATGTCCGACACCGACACGGAGGCCCCCAGAGAGTGTCCATGCTTCCTAATTGGGTGCTCAACAACTGCAACCACGCGTATTACGAGAAGTGTATCGAGAAATGGCTGGACCAATGGTCGAATTGCCTGCTTTGTCGGGTGCCATTCAGGCACAGATTTTGCCAACTAACATTGGCTCATATGTTTTTGGCCAGATCAAGGCCTGGTTGATTTATGAATCCAATCGATATTTTCCGTTTTGATTTGGTCTTTGGGTAATTCAACCCGATTGATGTAATCCATATCGACCCTTATGTTTCATTTTGGCCAAACTGATTGTATTGTTTTTTTTTTCTTTATATATTTGTTTTATCCAATTACGTCAGCCTCTAGCTTAACATATATGAGTTTTCTTTTAGGATGAACCATTTCGATAAGCCCCGCATTTGTCTTCCTTAACAATATTCAACAAAGATTTTGAAGAGTAGTTTTTTTTGTTCCTGATTTTGAAGAGTAGCTAGCTTTTATCAAAATCTTATTCTTAATGCTCTTATTCATAAACAGTAAAGAATAAATACATCGGTAGTTTCTGTGCCTTTTCAATTTGTTCACTGTTCCGTCAAAAAAAAAATTGCTCACTATTGTTCCTATACTATTTTTTTTTGCCAATGTAGTCCCTCAATTATATGTACTTTTTCCTTTTTGAGATTGATTATTCCGTTATACAAGTAAATGGAAATGCTGATGTTACCGTTAATTTGTCGTTATTTGCTGACGTGCCATCCTTCATAGATTCTAATTATTTTTTGGTCGGAAAATTTTTCTAATATATTTAAAACACGATAAATATATTTAAAAATAAATAAAACGAAAATAAAAAATTATAAAATATATATATATATAAAAGACATAGAAATTTCGACAAAGGAAAGCAACAAAAATTGAAAAATTGCGACCTCTGTCGCTTGTGGCCACTGTGGCGACTGCCCTTAGGCGACACGACGCGGGTCAAGGACCCTCGGCGAGATCTCGCATGGAGTTGAGCGATCCCAGCAAAATCTACCTGATCTGGGGTTGCGCAAATAATAGTTCCATAAACTATTAGTTCTAAGCGAGAGGATCAAAAATCAACGCTAGGTTTCAAATTAATAATTTTGAGCAATATTTCATTAAACAAAAAGTTAGAATCATGTCGTGCAGTGTTGAAGAAAAGCTTCCAAGCTAGGACAAAACCACTCACTTAATATGACTAATGTGGTCTTATTTTTATTTAATCTTTCAATCGAAATGGTGTCTAATGGAAAATGTGGGAGAATTTTTCATTATGCTTCAAAAGAAAACAATTAAGTAGTATAGTTTTGCAATTTCAAGTCAACATGACACGCTGGAAATCCACATAATTTTCTTCATTTAACACCAGCTTTATCTAATTGGTGTACAAGCTGTATTTCATTTAAATTGATTAATGAAAGGATGACATAAACATATTAAAATATATTAGGTATTTAATTGGACCAACTGAAAGTTTCGGGACGATAGCGCACATTACTCAAAATTGATTTAATTGAATCAATCGAAAGCTCAATTATGACACTGCACATCAATAAAAGTTCACATAATGCTTGTACTATTATCTCTTACAGCAATAGAAACTACATGTTCTTTACATCTCATATCAGAGAAGGCAAGAGATGTTGATCCAGTGCATTTTCCGATAAAAAGATGGAAATAATTGTGAAATGGGATCTTCCCAAAAGTCTTCCCATGGTTATTTCTGGTACCACGACTTCAAACTACAAACATCGCACTATTTCTGTAGCGTTCATAGAGAAGATATCTCTGCAGTAAAAATAAAAAATCACATGGTTGGGATTGGTGAGAACTAAGAAGATATTCAAAAGGCGATCGTCACCATAATTGAAAACCGAACAAAATAACACATGAAAAACTTCAAATCTTACCGTCTTCTAGAATGCTCTGAATTTGTTAACATTAAGATCGCGAAGTTCCTCTAAACTGATTGCAGAGAGCGGCATATTCAGGGGTACTTGAAAGCAAAGCTCACGTGAGACTTGTTGCATGGTCGGTCGAAGCCTCGGATCGGCTTGCAAGCACTCAAACGCTAGCTTGGCGATCAAGACCACGTCCTGCTCATCTCGAAGGCCAAGTCTAGAAGGCAAGAGACGTTGATCTAGCACATCCTTCAACATCATCGACCTAGTTTGAGTGGTCGATGAACATTCTCGAGAGACATGATCTCCTGGATGCTTTCCCATGATTGTCTCTAATGCAACGACTCCAAAGCTATATACATCACACTTTTCAGTAGGAACTGTAGAATAAGCCAGCTCTGCAAGTGGAGAATCCACTATTTTTTTTAATCTCAATCATAAGTTGTATTCAAGTTTATAACATTACTTCCCATGGCGTGACATGTGACAATTACAATTACCGATTTCTACTTAATCTACACTTACAACACTGATTTGAGTACGGGACTTTATGCTTTGGTAAAGTTCAAAATTTTTCGCTCGACGCTTAAAATACGAGCATCTTCTAGGTTACACGAATTAATGTCTTGAATGGATTTATTATGATGTTTTCCTTATTTTTCAATTCTTATTTATGAGGAAACTCAAAAAGCTTTTTCATCAATACTGAACTTGAAAGCTCTAAATAAGTATAACAAATTTCCATAAGACAATTAAATAACTAATGAACTGCACTAAACTAGTATAGAAGTATGACACCGAATGTTATCGAAATTGAACCAAAAATTACGAAGTACCTGGAGCAATATACCCGATGGTGCCAGCAATGGCAGTCCAATTTGATGAATCCGGCCTCAATAATCTTGCAGTGCCAAAATCAGAAACATGAGCCTCATAATCGAGATCCAATAGAATGTTGTTACTAGTCAAGTCTCGATGTAACAACGGAGGTGAACATCCGTGATGCATATAGGACAACGCATCCGCAATTCCTCGGACCACATTTACCCTCTTGTCCCATTGAAATTCTCTTGCTCTTTCATCATCGTTCAAAACTATCCTCAAGCTTCCTCTTTCCATGTACTCATACACCAAAAAATAGCGTTGAGCATGAGAGCAGAAGCCATAAAATTTCACGATGTTGCGGTGACGTATATTTGTTAAGGCTTCAATTTCCCTTTCAAATGGTATCAAATCAATGATCTCACCATCTTCCTGGGATGACAAGGTTTGCTTGATAGCAAACGTTTGACCTTCTGATATCTCGGCTTTATAAACAATTCCATATGCTCCTTCACCCACGTAGTACTTGGAGTCAAATCCTTCCGTGGCTTCAACGATTCGATCATAGAAAACTTTGCCATCATAACTCAAAATACTCATGAAATCCAAATCATTTGCCCGCTCATTGTTCTCTCTCTTCATAATCCTTCTTTGACGATGATAGACGATTACAAGAACAATCAAGGTGCAAGAGAGAAGGAGAAACCCCAAGAACGAGAGAATGAGGATAAATGTGATTCTAGCTCCAACGTGCCGATTACGTTTCTTGTTCCCGGTAGAATTGCATTTCGGTAAACCAACAACATTTCCACAGAGCCCTTTGTTATGCTGAATTGCCTCAAATGGAGCCTCATTGAAAGCCTTGACATTAGGGAGAGGACCTTCCAGGTCATTGTAAGATACATCAATAGAAGTCAAGGCCAACATATCACCAAAAGTATGTGGGATGGAACCAGATAGGCTATTGTGGGAGATATTTAGAACTTGCAAGTTTCTCAGTAATGCAAGCTCTCTCGGTATATTTTTAGACAAAATATTATAACTCAGATCAAGAACCTCGAGGACTTGTGTGTTGCTTATCTCAGGAGGAATGCTTCTTCGAAATTTGTTTATGCTCAAGTTCAAGCTCAACAAGCTTTTGCATGAGCCTAGCTGCACCGGTATTGATCCGCTCAAATTGTTTGAGGCTAAGTTTAGATGTGCTAGATGGGATAGAAGTCCAATCTCAGTTGGGACATTTCCCATGATCGCATTGCTGCTTAGGTCGAGTTCTAACAACATCGACAGGCTTCCCATTTCCTTCGGAATCTCTCCGCTTAAATTATTTGAAGAAAGGTCCAGTACTTGTAATTGAGCCATCCTTCCAAATATTGCGGGTATCTCACCAGAGAGGTCGTTGTTTGATATCCTCAAGCTCGTCAAATTACGACAATGCTCCCATTTCCACGAAAGTTCGCCAGTCAAATGATTGTGGCTCAAGTCCATAAAATATAGATGTGGATATATTCCGAAAGCATCTGCTATGTTTCCAGTAAATTGGTTTCCAGCGACCCCCAATCTAATTAATGTGCTACAGTTCTTTAGGCTTGGGGGGATGGGACCAGTGAAATGATTATTGTTGACGGAGAAATATTGCAATGATCTCCCAAGGCATAAATCTTCTGGCAGTTCCCCCTCTAGTTCATTATTATATAGTTGAAAATAAGTCAACTGTGTTAAGTTATTGAATTCCGAAGGCAAGGAACCAACGAATTTATTGTCGGAAAGGTCCAGTACAGTTAGAGAAGTGAGCCTCCCGATTTCTGAAGGTATTAGTCCTGAAAGTCCACTTTGAAGGAGGAAAAGTTCAGATAAACTTGTCAAGTTTCCAATGGAACGAGGAATTGAGCCAGTGAGTTTGTTTTCTGATAGAAAGAGTTGGATAAGAGAAGTGAGGCTCCAGATTTCTGAAGGTACCGGTCCTGAAAGTTCATTTTCAGAGAGGATAAGAGCAGATAAATTTGTCAAGTTTCCGATGGAACGAGGAATTAAGCCGGTGAGATTGTTTTTTGCTAGGCTAAGTTCAATAAGAGAAGTGAGCCTCCCGATTTCTGAAGGTATGAGTCCCGAAAGTCTATTCTCCCCTATGTACAGAATTTCCAAATTCCTCAAGTCATTTATCTCTTTGGGAATGGAACCGGAAATTTTATTGCTCGAAATGCTTAATCCGGTTAAATTGCCTAATTTTCCAAGAGAAACAGGAATGGACCCTACAAGTTGATTTTGCCATAGGAAAAGATAAATCAAGCTGCTTAAGTTCCCTAGTGAAGCAGGGATAGGACCGGTGAGCTTATTTCTGGAAAAACCAAGTTCCAAAAGAGAATCTAACTGTCCAATCTCCTGAGGGATGTGTCCACTCAGGTTGTTTGCACATAGTTCCAAATAATGAATACTCTCTAGCATACCTAAACTTGGAGGAATGTCCCCCGACAGTTCATTGAAGCAAAGACCAAGATAGTTGAGTTTGGAAAGGTTACCGATACTTGAGGGAATTGAGCCATAGATCGAGTTGTTGGAAAGTTCAAAGCTAACCACACTTGTTAAGCGCGAGAAGTCGAGGCCGTGTAGAGTTCCTCTCAAACCGAGAGAGGAAAGATTTAGATGGGTGATGGCTCCGTAGTTGCCGCAAGCCACGCCGGTAGAGCGGCAAAGATTGTCACCGTGCCATGAAGAGAGGAGAGACTGGCTATGGTTGTCAAGAGTGGATTTCCAATTAAGGAGAGCCTCTGCTCCATCCTTATTCTCGGTCACGTGGACGGTGGACAAAGGAGTGGAGGAAGCAGAAACGCCTACCCCCTGAAATGAAGTGGTGCCGACCAAGCAAAGTGAGAAGAAGAAGACAGCTAAAGGAGACTGGGTGGACAGCAATAAGGAAGAAACCATGATTTGGGGGAGGGGGGAAGGTTGGGTTTTGGGAGATGGGAGATGGTTCAGGTCTACATAAGGTTAACAAGATTGATGACCATACTTACATAGATTGGAAGATCACTCCCAAAGCCTCCTCTATCAACCTATTACAGCTGTACAGCATTTTCTGGCGAATGGGTCCTTCTCATTGACGATATATTCGCAAGACAAAAGTCTTCTTCCTTTTCGATCAGTTCAGCATGCGCCGAGTGAATAGCGCAGAGCCACAAAAGTCTCAATCGTTGGTCATGCTTGACTTACTTTTCCAAGTCGTCATTGAAATTGATGTGTCAATCGTATTTGTGGAAAACGGTGATCCTGACCGTGGGGCAAGGGGCTCGGCTAAGCATCTCGAGGCTGTGGACCCCCGGTGTTTTAGCAAATTGACCAAAAGAGTTCGGGCGTCGCGCGCGAGAAAACGAACGAGGAGAGGAGGGGTGGATGATACGGTGACGGGTGGTTGTAGGCGGGCGTTGCGTGCTACCCGGACACGTGTCCCCCGCGAGAGCAGTGAAGCGGTGAAAATCACGGTCAACTTTGTGGAAAGTTTGCAACTTCGAGTAGGCTCACCAAACTTTCTGGAAGTGGTCGATGATTTTAGGGAAAATTTCAATTAAGGGCCTCAAGTGGGGTCAAATTCTCAAAAAATGGCCTAAAGTGAACATAATGTCAAATAAGGGCTTGAAGTGCCCAATCAGTTTCAAATAAGGACCCGAAGTGCTCAAAAAGTCTCAAATAAAGGCCTGGGTCGCCGGCCGGCCAAAATGCCCGCCGGCCGGCGAGAATGCACCGGAATAGTAACTTTTTTATTTTTTATTTTTTTTCCTTTCTTTTTTTTTTCCTTTTCCTTTTCTTTTTTTTTTTTCTTCTCTTCCTCTGCCTGCTATAGCCGGGGCCGGCGGAGGTCACCGGCCTCAGGCGAGGCCGCCCTCGCCTGGGCTGGGCGAGGTCGGCCTCGCCAGTTGCCGGCGAGGTCAAACCTCGCCAAATCTGGCGAGGGTTCAGCCCCGCCGGCCGCTGGCGAGGCTTGACCTCGCCGGCGTCGGGCGAGGTCAGGCCCTCGCCAGATCTGGCGAGGCTCGACCTCGCTGGCGTTGGGCGAGGCCGGCCTTGCCGTTGCAGGCGAGACCGGCCTCGCCCGACGCCGGCAAGGTCGAGCCTCGTCGGCAATTGGCGAGGCCGACCTCGCCTAGCCCAGGCGAGGGTGGCCCTCGCCCAACGCCGGGGAGGGCGGCCTCACCTAAGGCCGGCGACCTCCGCCGGCCCCGGCCATGGCCGGTGGAGGAAGAGAAGAAAAAAAAAAGAAAAGGAAAAGAAAAAAAATAGAAAAGGAAAAAAGTAAAAAAGTTAATGTTTCGATGCCGGAATAGTAACATTCTTGCCGGCCGAGGCGGGCATTTTGGCCGACGGCGACCCAGTCCTTATTTGAGACTTTTTGGGCACTTCGGGTCTTTATTTGAGACTGATTGAGCACTTCAGGCCCTTATTTAACACTATGTTCGATTTGGGTGCTCTTTTGAGAATTTGACCCCACTTTGGGGCCTTAATTGAAATTTTCCCCCTCAACTATGATTTGCGAAGGAAAATTTTTTATGTTCAAAACAGGTTATTATTTACAATAAATTGGAACTGACATCTATTTATGAATCTTTACAATGGACTTACGTCAACTAAAAGACCTGAGCAAGTTGAAAAAACTCACGAATCAACCTCAATAACTTGTTGACAGAACTTCGAGCATTTCACTAAACTCCTGTTTCAGTATTGGACGCCTAAGGTTCCTTGAAGTACCCTACTCAAATTCTTCTTGTTGCTTTTTTCCTTTTTTCTCTCTCTCCAAGATGGGAAGCGTAAAATTAACTCGGGAAAAGAGATATAGGCTCTCTTCACGGACCAATCACTCCATCTTTATCACAAGCATGTAACGAAATCAAGTCAATCATATGTCGGATGAAAAGATTATGCACTATCAACATTTGGTGGATTTTCCTTCAAAATATTATATTGAAATTTAAAAAAAAAAGAAGCCACCAACTCTGGGAAACTATGGAGGTCTCAGAACCTTGATCCCACATGGTTTATATTCCCTTTCAACACCTCACTCATCTGCACAACATCTGAGTGTCAATTTTGATCCCCATAACCTGCCAGGACTTCCATTGTGGTTGAAGAATACCGGCACTCAAAATCAACTATTTCCCACAAATTTGCCTGACATGTCAATTTCGATGAGGACCTGGAAAAGTAAGTCAAGCATGACCGGTGATCGAGTATTATCCCCCACCGCGCACGCTAAAACTGATTGAAAAAGGGTAAAGACTTTTCATCTTGCAAATATATCGTCAATGAGAAGGCCCCATTTACCTGAAGACGCTGTACAGCCGTAAAAGTAGCCTCGATCGAGGCTTCGGGAGTGATCTTCCATCCATAAGTATGTCATCCATCTCGTTAACAACAAGTAGACCTGAACCATCTCACCTCCCAAAACCCCACCATCCACCAAATCATGGTTTCTTCCTTAATGCTGTCCACCCTAACAAAATTGAATGCACGAAAAATATTTTCATCTCTACGCAAATATTTAGACACAAATTATTGTTGGTAATAAAAATATTCTTCATGGACTAGTTATTTCAAGCGATACATACGATTTTTTTTTTTTGAAAATGTTTTTCAAATCACTTATTTTCCCAAAAAACAAATAGAGCTTAATCATCACTTTAGTCTTGCCCTTTAAGCGCAAGCTTTCGACTATTGCAACAATCCTAATTCTCCGTTGTTTAAAAAGTTAGAACTAGATCGTTAATTCCTTCGATAGAGGTTACCCAAAGAATAAAATGCTATAGATAAAAAGCCTGATTTCAAAATGGGACTACAAAATGACGTAGTAGACTTTTATTAGATATACGTCTAAGACTTTAATTGGATATTTGTTTAAGTATTTCTACATATTCATTGCGTCACTTTATAAATCAATTTTGTACTCCCGTGTAAAATAAAAAGGCTATCGAGTTTCACATTCATCCGAAAGTAGCTTCCTGTTTTTCCTTTAGTCACTTCATTCTTTTCTTATAAAACACTCATTCATAGCACATGAACTTAAAAATCGTAGATAATCGAAAAGCAATATTCGCATAGTCATCACTGTTTTGAATACTATCCACCCCTTTCCTTTCCTATTTTTCTCACCTCTCCATCTATTTGCCCTCTATTCGATTTCTCGAATCACATTTTCAGCTAAAGACAAATATAGTCTAATCCTTTTTAGACATTTCACATGTCCAAACAACACTTGCAATTTCTGCGTGCAACAACCTAAGTAATTAAGGTACTAGCGTCGTAGTTTTCGAGTTAAATTTTGTGCAGATATAGGTTGTAAACCCTTTAACTTTGATTTGTGAAGGGCATATTTGATGTTCAAAACAAGTTAATATTTAGAATTACTTGGAACAGAAATGCATTTATAAATGTTTACCAATGGACTTGCGTCAACTAAAAGACCTGACCAAGATGAGAAAACTCACCAATATACCTAAATAACTTGTAAACAGAACTTTGAGCTTTTCACGAAACTCTTGTTCTAGTATTGGAGGCCTAGGTTCCCTTGAAGTAACCTACTCATATTCTTGTTGCTGCTTTGTTTTCTCTCCAAGATAGGGAAGCGTAAAAATTACTGTGCAAAAAGAGATCCAAGCTCTCTTCACAGACCAATCACTCAAATCTTTATCGCATGCACATTATAGAACCGTTTCGCCAGAATTGGAGCCGAGTCAATCAGATGTAAGATGGAAAAATTATGCACCATCAAAATTTGGTCAATTGCTACAAAGGACCCCCACTCATCTACACAAAATCTGAGTGTATATTCCGTTTCAGCACCCCCCACTCATCTGCATAAAATCTGAGTCTCAATTTTGAGCCATATAATTACCCACGGTCTGTCAGGATCACCATTTTCCACAAATACGATTGAAGAGAAAATATTGGGTGCAACTGTGATTCCACCGTGGTAAAATCCGCGTCAATTATCGGGTGACACGTGTCGCCCGGGCCCCACCGCACCTGAGCTGAAAAATTTTGAAAGAAAGGTTGGACTCTCTCTCGCTCGCGCTCCCAGACTTCCACTTCCAGATCTGCACTCTCTCTCTACACTTGCGCCTCCGAGGCTCCGTCGTCTCCGACGAACGACCTTGACGCCGACGCCCAACCCTTGCCGACGCCGACGCCGACGCCTCCGCCATGCCCTAGCCGACGCCGAAGCCGTTGCCCTAGCCTCCGCCTCCGCCTCCGCCTCGACTCTCTCTATTGTTCTCGCCGTCTCCGCCTCCGCCCTAGCCGACGCCTCGACTCGCTCTGTACCTCTCGACGACTCCGCCTCCGCCTCGACGCTCTGCAGTTCTCGTCGTCCGACGGACCACGTCGCCGCCTCCGACGAAGCCTCGAGAGGTACAGGTTTACTCCAGATTTAGTGTACTCCAAGTGGATTTCACAATATTTCCTTTACAATTCATCTTCTTCTCTCTTTCAGATTTTTATCAGCCCTTCAAGGTTGCAATTATGTATCCAGTAGAACCACCGGTAAGCGTTTCCCGGATAGCAGTAGTCTCCATGTGAAGCTACTAGCAACCGTTAATGTCAAATGTTTAATCATATCATTGAAGCGGTTTAGTTATTGTTACTGGATGAGTTTTCTGTAGCAGATCCTTCAAGACCCTTTTCTTTTCTTTAGCTTTCTGATGTTGCGTATGTAGGTTAGGATGATTGTGCTGGCTATTCTGCATGATATGAATATTATATGTGACTGTTCTCCTGTTCCACCTGCAGGTTGTTGGTGAATTTGACTGGGGGTTGGATGAACTTGAGGTACAGATGTTAATCCTCCTTTATAGCCTTGACGATGCCTTACTAGCTGCAATTTGATAAATAAGGCTGTGTTTTGTCGCTGTGAGATTTATCATTTTGGGTCATGTGCAACCTTTTCTGGATGTTATATT